CCTGGGCTGGCGGGCGGCGCTCTCCGGCGCCGCGTGCGGCCGCGCTGGCCGGTGGAGCTGGCTGCCGTCGAGGTCGAGGTGTACATCAAGCCGATAATGCTTGGCGAAGGTACATGGACCAGCCCACGTCACAGCTCTGCAGATATCCTGTAGCGGAACCCCCGCGGCAAACGCGGACGAAGTTGCTCCTGCTCGTGTGGAGTGACCTCTTGGAAAGACAGGTAAGTCTATTTTCGATAGCTGGTAAGCCAGGACGATAGTCTGGATGATCCAATTAGAAAGTCTTTGAGATGTGATCGGCGATCCCTTGTCACGCTCGGAGTACTTAACAAAAAGTCTATTAGTACTACGGAAAGATTCAGTACGGGATCTGTAAAAAGCCAAGCAACGGCGAACATCAAGCATGTGTAGAGCACGTTCTATCGGATTCGAAGGCGATGGAAAGAATGCCGGCAAAACAATGTCTTGACTCAGGTGGAATGGCGTAGCCACTTTAGGGAGAAAGGAAAAATCCATCAGAAGAACAACTTTTTTCCTTATGGAAATTCAGAAATGGTGGGTCTATGCGAAGAGCACAAATTTCCTTAGCTCTCCGAGCTGATGTTACTGCTACGAGGAAGGCCGTTTTCCACGACATAAGGCGTAGGTCCACAGTTGCCAAAGGCTCAAACGGTGGTTTGGTAAGCGCTTGGAGCACTACGGAAAGGCTCCACGTTGGCATAGCAGGGCGGATAGATGAATGTAAGTTCTGTAGTCCCCTAATAAAGCGTCGAACCAGCGGTTGAGAGAAAACTGTTAAGCCGTGGACAGCGCCACGATAATGGGATATGGCAGCTGCATAAACTTTGATGGATGATGGTTTGAGTCCCGTGTGATGCAGTTGCAAGAGAAATTGCAGAATATTGTCAACTGAAGCCGTGCCAGAAAGAAAGGAATGGCACTCTGCAAAAGAGGAGAATCTTTTCCATTTTGCCGCACAGGAACAACGAGTGGATGGTCTCAATGCAGATTCGAGAATCGCCTGAATTTCTTCGTCAGTAGGCATTGGTACCGCAGCGATTGCTGTCGAATCCGAGGTAGGAGCCGTATGTACAGTCCGCTGAATAGGGTCCTCCGTAGAGCGAGGTGTCGTCAATATCGACTAAGTGAAATTACTCAGTTGATCTGCCATGCTGTCTACTTCAGGGAGGTTATATCTGGATGCCGGATCGCTCCGTCTTGTTGTGTTAACACATGCGGAAGAGTTGGTAGGTGAAGAAACATTCTTCTGGATAGTAGCAAAAGAGTGGCAAACCATGGTTGTCTCAGCCACCACGGAGTTACTAATATCCCTGTGGCATTGTCTTGGGCTATTTTCACCACCACTTTTGTTAGAAGTGGGATCGGAGGAAACGCATAAAAAGTCATGTTATTCCAAGGGATCGTAAGAGCATCCCCCATCGATCCTGATCTGATGCCTGCTCTGGAGCAGTACAGGGCACACACTCTGTTGTCTCGGGTGGCGAACAGGTCCATGTCTGGGTAACCCCACAAACGGAAGAGTTTCTTGCAAATTTGTCTGTCCAACTCCCATTCGTGGGTTGTTGACATCTGTCTGCTTAACATAGCTGCTTTGATGTTGTCGGTTCCAGCCAGGTGAACCGCCAGGAGCATAATGTTCCTCGATATGCACCAGTCCCAAATGTCCATCGATAAGCGTGCTAAGGCTGGAGATTTTGTGCCACCCTGCTTGTTGATATAGAAAACAGCAGGTATGTCGTCTGATGCAATCTGGACAACTTGACGGCATAGCACAGTCTCGAAGGCCTTGAGGGCATTGAAAATTGCTAGAAGTTCGAGGAAGTTGATGTGCTTCCTTACTTCTCGTCGGTTCCAAGTACCTTGAACCTGAAGTCCCAAAAATGTTGCACCCCATCCGAGGAGGGATGCGTCGGTGTACAGGGTTGTTGTTGGCTGAGGCGGTCGAAATGGGGCACCGACAGACAGGTTGCCTGGGATGGTCCACCAAGTTAGAGTACGAAGGCTCGCAAACAGAATCCGGATCAGCTTGATGGCAGGATCCTGTTGCGGGTGAAATGCGGCATTGAAAAACAGTTGTATGGCATATGGGACAATGGCAACTGCAGCAGCCATGTGCCCAAGTAGTCTCTGAATGGATAAGGCTGGGACTGTTCCGTGCAGCCGGATCCAACGAATGTGGTTGCATAAGGCATCTTGATGTTCCGGTGGAAGAAAGGCTCTTTCCCGTGTCGAGTCGAGTCATGCCCCGATGAAGTCGATGACCGGCATGGGAATAAGGGACGATTTCTCGCGGTTAATGCACAGACCAAGAGCATCAAGTAGAGCGCAGGTCACTTGTATAGCAGACAGAAGACCTTGTTTGGATTGCGAAACAATTAGCCAATCATCTAAATATGGGTATATTTGCACTCCCCGTGTTCTTAAGTGTGCGCATACCAGCGCCATACACTTCGTAAAAATTCGAGGGGCGGTTGCCAGGCTAAAAGGTAGAACATTGAACTCAAACAGATCGGACCCGACAGTAAAATGTAGGAAGCGTCTGTGTGAAGGATGGATAGAAATATGAAAATAGGCATCCTTCAAGTCCAGTGAGGCAAACCAATCCTCCCTCTTCAATAACAGAAAGATATTCTGTAAAGTGGTCATCCAGAACTTCCTTGGTTTGATGTACTTATTAAGAGTTCGTAAGTCCAGAATCGGACGAAGACCACCGTCCCTTTTCGGGACTGTAAAATATCTGGAGTAGAATCCATGCAATCCTTCCGAGCAGGATAATTGTCGAATCGCTCCCTTGATAAGTGACTGGGAGACCTCGTCGCATAGCACCAATGAAGAAGGTGTAAAACAAATCGGGCTCGACGGAGGGACAACATCGAATTCTATCCTATATCCGAACTGAATGATAGATAACACCCACCTATCAGATGTAATGGACTCCCAAATGGGGAGTCGGCCCTGGAGCCGGTCCCCAAAAGGGAGAAGGGAAGGTGGTGTTGGAAGAGAGAGGATGGTTCGCCCGGACCATCAACGTGGGCATTTATCGGCATCAAAGCGTTGACGGCCTTGGGAGAAGCGCTGTTGCGGTTGCTGCCTCCAACGTTGCTGTTGCTGATACTGCTGGCGAGGGTAGTATTGTTGGTTCCGATAGGAAGACCGAGGCCACTGCCACTTACACTTGTGTGGAGGGAGCTCCATGCAGCCCGCAGTCAGGCGTGATTCGTGTATTGCCTTTAACTTGCAGTCGGTCTTCTGATGGAACAGACCGGTACCATCAAATGGCATTTCCTCGATTCTGCGTTTCATCTTGTCAGGGAAATTACAGTTGCACAGCAACGCATGTCGGCGTTACGAGATGGCATTGACGAGGGCCCTCGAATCGGTGTCTACATGGTGTCGTGCAGTAGACAACTGTTGCACCGCCACCTGCATCACTTCTTTAATGAAGACCCTGGCGAGGTCGGCTTGGTGGTCTGGAAGGGAGGAAGCAACGTTATCCAGCTTTTGCATGATAAAGTACTGGTAACGCGCCAGAGTTGCTTCGTAATTCGATATGCGTACGCCGAGCCCAGAGGCAGCATAGACCCGGTGCACAAGCATATTGATTTTCCTCTCTTCCTTGTCACGAGGGGCAGTATGTCTCCTGGACTCCCTGCCCTGGGAGGATTCAACCACGAGAGAGTTCGGTTTTGGGTGACGGAGCAAAAAAGGAATATCGTCGTCATGAACTCTACACATGGCCTCATACCGGCGGGAAGTAGCTTGTGGTTGGGCCGGTTGATCCCAGGGCTGGACCATAGCCTGGCGAAGTGTAGTTATTAGCGGCAGGGCTATGGATGCGGACTGCTCCCCTGTATGACGTCGTAAAACCGATCTGTGGAAGGACCTGGCTGCTGATGAGCTTCGATCTCAAGAGACCGAATGAGGCGGGACATGAGCTCCGTAAAGGAGACATGCGGTTCGTCGGGTGAAGCAGGCCCTTCGTATGTAACAGCCACACCGGGGGATGTCGAGTCGACCTCTGACTCATCGGAGTCTTCATCGTAGCGACGGCGGTCGCTTGAGGAGGAGGTTTCAGGAGAGGTTGGACGCCTTCTCTCCACACGCCTCGGGGTGGATGGTACGTCCCTCGGGACTGATGGTGATCTACGACCCCGAGGAAAGTAAGGATACGGCTGATAACCACCCCAGCCGGGGGGAGCACCATATCCAGGCATCAACCAATTCTCATCCCAATGTTTGGATGAATAGCTGCGACGCCTGGGAGGCAATGGCGAAGCTACATGAGGCTCAGTTGTGGGCATAGGTGTTGGAGAACGTTCCCTTGGCGGGGAGTCTCTAATCTCACCATCAGAGATGGACTCCTGAAGCGGCTCCTCCTGTTGTTGAGGTGGCAAGCTCTCAGGCTGAGTGATTGGCCTGGGGGATCCCGGCGGAGACACCTGCATAGCGGATTGCAGGGCCGGTCCCGAGGGAGTCGGTACCGTGGCGGCCGTCGGTACCGAGAAGCCCGATGAGCCTGAGCCCCGGTGTTTTGGGCGGTCAGGTTTCTTGCTCTTGTGAGCGGGCTTGTCCACCTTTTCCTTCCTCAGCTTCTTATGGGTGGAAGGTTTATCCAAGCCAGTGTGCTTGCGCTTCTCCCATTTCTTAGCTGGGGAAGAAGGCAGCAACTGAGTCTCCGTGGAAGCGGCGCCTTCGTCCGAAGGACGTTGCGGAGGATCGGCAGAAGTCGAAGTGGGGTGCTTCGCAGGAGCGCTCGCGGTGGAGGAGGAGCGCTGAGGAGGCGCAGCAGAAGAGGAACCAGGCCGTAAGAACAGTTGGTCAGACTGCATTAATGCCTGGTCCCACAGGAGTTTTCTAATACAATTCTCCTTGTTCTTCCTCGCTTGCTTGGTAAACGCCAAGCAATGGCCTCATTTGTCAGTTCTATGCCCCTCGCCAAGGCAGAGGAGGCATAGATCATGTGGATCAGCAGGCGACATTTTGGATCCACATTCGATGCATTTGTGGAATGCCGCTCGCTGTGCCATCGTGGAAAGAGAAGAAAGAGAAGACAGCGTAGAGGGTAAGATAATATTTTTGGTTTTGTTTTGTTTTTGTTTTTTTTTAGAAATGAATGGATTTAAGAAGAACCAGGAAGAACAACAAACTTGGAGCAAGAGAAGAAAAGTTTTGGAGATAAATGCAAAAACAGACAAGGAGCACAAAGATCTAAGCGAGGGATGAACAGGCACAAGGCAAAGCGAACGGCGGTCACAAAGACTGAGTAAAATGGCGGACACTCCACTCGAGTTATACCACTGAGGGGGAGGGGAGCGGAGTTTCCCGCCAAAAACCGTTAGCTTTCTAATCTTTCAGCCTAGGCACTGCGCAGGCGCAGCACCCATATGTGTGATGCACAGAGGCCACGATGAAGAACTGTAATTGCTGTATCGCTTGGGGTTGTTTCTGCTGAGCTAACAAGAACCAGGGGATGCAACAAGGCCTAAATGAGCTCAACCAGAGCCAACAAGACCAGAAGTGAGCGGGGGCATCAGGTTGTAGGAAGTCTGAACTATGGAGTTTGCCACACCTCCAGGACTGCCTCAGCTTGCCAGGAGTATAGTAATTTCAGTGTGGATTACTGAAACCAAGTGACAGCACAATGGGAACTTTGCTTTGGATGACTAAGGGCTCTTATAGGGGGTCAGACAAAGCTTTTAATAGAACTGAAGGCTGTAGGTTAAGATAAAACAAAAGGAGTTCTTTCTCAGACAAAGTCAATAGCATCTCAGATCACCAATGAAATATGCATATTACAGTCTAATCAATGTGAGTCAATCACGGGGCACTTAATTGTTGTGAGTCCTTAGGCTTAATTCAGACCTATGTACATGACAATGTCGCTTTTCTTATGGCAAGGCTGCTTTGCTCTTGTCTGTCATAACTCTGAGCCTCAGATCTACTTTGCCTGAGTCTTTCAAAATAAAAACACCAATTGTTGCCAGATATTCATGAGATTTAACTGTACCTGCTCTACTGCAGAGCAGCTTGGTTATCAGTAACCCCTGGACTCTCCTCATTAACTATGTTGGCAACTTCTTAGACTTGCCTGATACCTTTCCAAAGCTGCTGTAAACATTCTAATTTGATCTTCCATGACAGGAGCAGGCCACATGGTATCCTCCAGATGTTTCGAACTACTCCCATAATTCCTGACAACTGGTCATCCAGGTTGGGTCTTATGGCTAGTGTAGTTGAAAAATTCTGGAGGACACCACCTTGCCTATCCCTGTTCTATGATCATAGTTTTGAATAACCTGCACTTGGTAGATATGTCATCTCCTTGATTTTCCTTTCTACATCCTTTTATTTAGATGTTCCCTCTTTTGACATTAAATATGATTGTATTGGACAGTCTGGCATATTTTACAAAATTGGTTTCCCAGCTGACTACTCAGTAACGCATTTTGCACAAAATCCCTGACATTACTTAGGATTAAATCCAAGTCTGCTTTCCCTCTGGTCAATTCCATGACCAACTGTTCCATGGCACAGTATTTTAGGATATCTAGAAATTCTGTCTGTCATGACCCAAACATGCATTTACCTAATCAGTTTGAGGGTAACTGAGTTCTGCTTCTGCACATGTGACCTGTGAGCTTTATATACTTTGCACAGGAATAATTCGGTGCAAAGAATGGCATGTTAGCATTCCCAGGTATTCATGGACTGGAGCTCAGGTTGGTTTAACTTCCTAGACCAGAAACAGAATTTCAGGGAGCATAAGAGAACCAGATTCCAGCTGGATCTTTGCATTCCTAGTTGTAACATTTTCAAATCTTACAGGCTCCCCTTTTCAACTTCCTTTTTACCAATTCTGTCATATTAGAGAAGAGTCCCTTTTTGAAGTCAAATGTGACTCCATTGTATTTCCTTAGAATTTTTCACTTAATGTGTGCACTTAAATAATCTTCTTAGCTTATTAACTGTGGTTTTATTTTTAAATTGATCTCACTATCTTTAAAGGTTCAATCCAATTTGTGGGTGCGGTTTGGCAAATAATCTGGAATATGACATCACTTTTTTCACAGAATGAGAAGAGAGAATTAGCACTCAAACTAGATGGAAGTAGATGAGGATTAGGAATCAAGTGGAAACTGGTTAGCTCTATGTAGGACAAAGCAACCTTAATAACTACTAGTATGTGCTCCACCATTTACCTTTTACTTTATTTTTATCTCTGTGATATCATAGGAAGTAGTGACTGACGTTTTACATGTTCTGCTGTTACTTACACCTGCAAGTAAGTAGTTGCCTTGCCAGGCTCTCTGGAGCCCAATATCACTTCGATGACCCTTCAGCAACTCCATTGCTGCCACCTTTGCCCTGATCTGAGGAAGATCACTGGGTGGGATTTTTTTGATAAGTTCAAAAGCTCTCCACCTGGAAACAGAAACATTAACGGGTAATTACACATCAGTCCAGGATGGGGGCTAGAATGGGACGTGCTGTCACCCCAACTGATTGTCATGCATGGAATTCCATGCAAACCAGGAGTATGCTTATCAAGTATATTACTATTGACATGCATAGCTAGAAACAAGCAGAGACACATGCAGTAGTATGGCTACTGAAGCCTAGAACGATGTTTGTGACTTCCTCTAATGCAACACTATGGCAGTGACTTCACAGTCAAGGAGAGGCCAGGGATGTAGTGCAGGACTAACCCAACTCCATCACTCAACAAATAGATTGCTTCAGATTCCTACCTGTGGTAGATTGCCTGTAGGGCCTCATCAAACCGCTGCAGCACTTTAGGTGGGCTAGGCCATCTCACATGCTTCCCATAATCCTTCATAGACTTCACATTGTGAAATCGCCGGGCAACCTCACAAATATAAGACTTCACTTTGTACTGGCGGTAGCACTTGATGATCTTGAGTGCAGCTCGGGTCCTCTTGTATCGAAGGCGAGCCAGTGTGCCCCTCCAAACCTAAAAAAGTCCACCACACAGACACACCAGAAAGGTTTAGGACAGTACAAACAGGAAGGTGAAACGAAAAATGGCTTTCCTCTTCTTACTCAAGTTTCCATTTACTGTTACCAGAAAACAAACCAACAAAAAAGTGTATACTATTTAATGGAACTTCCTCTCCATCAGCTTACCTGGATTTCAGGCTATATAGGAGAAACAGACTCCTCACTCACCATACCTGCTTTTGCTTCTATGTGGGCCTTGTGTGCTTTATACAATGGAAATGTCTAAATTCTGCACCAAGGAACCTGATTTATGAAGCCAATATGAATAATGCAAAATAGCAGAATAATCTATTCTGCTTCTGCTATTCAGGAGGAAGGGCAAGAGATTTTCAGGACAATGAGTAGGGTTCCTTGAAAGCCCTACTCAGTTCTCTTGCACGTATCACATACCCAGTACATGTGGTAAAACTAGTACCTAGTCTAAGCAGAATTATTTTGATCGTTCCCCACTGCAGGGTAAGTGCCCCCTGCTCTGATTCTTGCCACAATATACAATAGTGTTAATTACTTTGTTGGTGGAAGATTTAATAGAAACTGAACTAGAGAGGAGCCAAATAAACCTCATATTTCACAATCCACAACTAGGTATGGAACTGTATGAGAAGACAGGTTAATGTTCCAAAGAGCTTACTTTCTACATTCCAGCATTAAAACAGAAGCAAAAATAAGAAAGAATACATAGAAAATGCAGTTACATGTACTTAGTGCAGATGTATGGAATTTATTTAATTCATTCCATGCATCTTTTGCAAACTGGCACACATCTATCATTCTGTTGTCCACAAATTCAGAATCAGACTTCTTTCCCCATTTGGAAAAGTATGTAGACATGTCCACTTCATTTTTGGTAAATTTCTCTGGCATTCTCTGTCATTTAACATTTTGCAAATGTTTCTTTACTCAGTATATACTCATATATCAGAAACTGAAGACATACCAGAAATGTATACAATTTTGTATGTTTTTAATGGCATAATTTCCATTAACTTTCTCATTTCCATACTAAGTCTGCATATAACCCAGAAAAACATTTTTTAAAATCTGTGGAAGCGCTTTAACTTAGAAGATCCTGATCTACTGCAGAATTTGTGGAGTGAATTCAAGAAATCTAAAGTTATTGCAATCCATTTCAGATTCCCCAACATCCCTAGCACTTGGGCATTATTTCAGCTGGGATTAGGGATGGGATGAACCCTGTTGGAATCCATTCTTTGAAGCCTGCATGAGTTTCCAAGCACAAAAGTGCTAGGCCCAATCTACCAAAGAGAGCTCAACTGAGAGGAAGTCTGAGCCAAGCCCTGGCTGCCTAACAGGCGACTTTCTTACAGGCCAGCAGCCCAAAAGGCCCGATGTAGCCAATGCAGCAGAGAGATGCATTGGGGGGGGGGGGGAGGGTCTGTCAGGAAAACAGCCCCTCCAATTGTAGCAGCATCTGCTTGAACATCACAGCAAACAGTGGCTGCTCCTCTCACCGAAGAAGGTCAGTGGCAACGTGCTTGGTCATGAGGTGCCCACCAAAATCCCCCCTCAACCGCCTTTTTGAGCTGCTGCTCTAGCTTACAAGTGCTCACTCCCACCAGTTGGGAGGGCTGTCTTCCTGGCAGGTGCCTCGCGACTGACCTTCTTTGGTGCAAGGAGTGGGCGTTGTCCGAGCAGCCGCTTCAGCGTGCGAGCCGTGCTAGCACAGAGCAAGGGGAGCAGCCGGTGGGCACATCAGCCACCAGCTGCAGCAGCCACCCTTCTTCCCCACTCACTGCTGCCGGCAGCAGTGGTGCTGTGCACAGAACAAAAACACAGTGAGTGGGTGCACTGACCGCCATTGCTGGTGGCCAACCTTCTTCCCGACTGGCTGCGGCCAGGAAGTACTCTCCAGACTCTGGGCCACTGGGACAATGGAAGTAAGTTCTCGTTAAAGTTCTCATCGAATGAACTATTTTTTTCATAGACAGCAGTATCATGCTCCACTCAAGACTGGAAATGCATGGAAGGGGAACAGATTAAGGAAACTATGATAACATGGGCACAAAATTTTGGCTATAATATTGAATTAGAAAAGTGGCAAAAGCTATGGGAGAGAAATATTAAGGTAACTTTAGCAACCTCGTATAAAGAAAATTTATATAAAATGTTTTATAGATGGTATTTGTCGCCAAGTCGATTAGCTAAGATGTTTCCAAATATGTCAAACGGATGTTGGAAATGTAAACATGATGTGGGTACTTTTCACCATATGTGGTAGACCTGTGAATATGTGAAAAAGTATTGGATTAAAATACATAAATGGCTTGAGAAAATGCTACAAAAACCTGTAGCTTTTAAACCTGAATTTTTCTTGTTAGGCATTATACCGGAAAATATTAGCAAACAAGAAATGTATTTGATGCTACATTTAATCACAGCGGCGAGGATTGTGCTTGCTCAATACTGGAAGAGTGAGGAACTACCTACTGAGGAACTGATTTTAAAAAAGATTCTGAACTGTGCAGAAATGGACAGATTGACTCTATTACTGAAGGAGAAAGAAGATACTGACTTCTATCAAACTTGGGACCTTTTTTATGATTGGCTGGAGAAACGGGACTTGGCTTAGATTTAAACATGTCTTTAAATTTTTATAAATCAATTTGAATATGATTATAGAATGTTAAAAAGATATGTTATAGGGGGCTGACCCAGTATATCCAATGTATTTGATGATTGATGTTTTTTAGTTTTTAGTTTAAAATCTTAATAAAAATCTTTATTAAAAAAAAGACTGGAAAATGCAGGGCTGGAAAAGCCACTTCCTATAGAGTGGGAGCTTTTCAGTATCCTCTAGAATGGTTAAACAACGAGAAAGCTATGAAATAAAGACACTGCAGCCCCAGTAGAAATCAGTATTCCTTGGGTAAGCAAGTGATAAAATGGGCATCAGGCAAACTTCACGCTTGCAAAGCTATAGCCTGCAAAGCTATAAATACTGATGCTATTATTCATCACCCTCATTAGATGATATATCAGAACGTTAAAAAGCTAGAAACTTTACAGTTTGCAAGACTGGATAAGAATTCCAATATGTTTAGTGCCTTTGCCATATGCTTTAGTAATATCGGATGACTTTATATGCAAGCTACAGAAGCATTTTAGAGGAGAATGGAAAGACCTCCTGGAGTGAAAATAGTAAATGATATATCCCTAACAGGTGATAGACACAATGATGCCAAAGCAGAGGCGGCCCACGACAAAAAATTATGGGCCTTTCTAAAATGATGCAGAGATCAAAACATTAAACAATGCAGAAAAATGAGGATGAAACAGAAAAGGGTGATCTATATTAGATACATACTAACTGCAGAAGGACTTAAAACAGACTCCCAGAAGACTGAGGCAATCCAAGCTATGCCAACTCTCACAAATGTAAAAGAGGTCAATGCATTATTGAGACAACAAGTTTTCTAGCCAAATTCTGTCCTTATTTGGCTATAGCTGCAGAAGCAATGTGACATTTTACCAGGAGGATGGGAAGCTCCATAACAGTATACACTGGATTTTATGAAGCAAATAATTATCAGTGCACCAGTATTGCAGTGCTATCTGTTGTGTGGCTGGCGCTCCTTCCCAACGAAAGCAATCACTCCAGTCGATGCTACAGAAGTCTTAATTCTACACAGTATTACAATTACAGTCACATAAGCTAGGAAGTTGTCCTCTCATTCTAATTAAGTTCAACTTACACTGTGTTTTTTAATCCTTCTGGGCTGTCCTTCTAGAGGCGGGGCACCATGACCCCTCTTCCTGCGTCACTCAATCTCAATTCTAATTATCCCAATCTGTGCGTGCATCTGCGGGAACGAGCATCCCCAACAGCTTCATCTACGTTATTTCCTAAATTCCCATACCCCATATCGTCACCTGGTGCAATTGTTTCCCCATCAACACCCAAATTGGTCTCTGTATGTTCTTCTGTTTTGACATCTCCCTGAATTTCCTTATCTCCTGGACTTCCATTCCCATCCTCTGTGCAGCTGGGGAGTAAAGCTTGTTCTGCTGGCACCAGAAATACTTCTTCATCAACCCTTTGGTTCTCATGGGAAGTTTTCTCCTCTTGTGCATGCGCCAAGGACTCTTCTGAGTCCACACACACAACAGTGCTATCAGCCTGGGCAGCAAATGCGATGCCGCTGAAAAGGACTTGGTACAGCGTTCTAACAAGACCATTTAATCATTTAAGCAGAATCCTATCAGAGTCTCATCCAGGAACAGAAAGGGCTCTTAGCAGTGTTTTATGGAGTGAAGCTATTCCCTCAATACACCTATGATCAGGCAGCATACTATCAGACTGTTTGAGACTACAGTAAGACAATTTATTCAGAGTGCTCCTTGGTGACTACCCACTCTTTCTTCCAAATCTGCAGCTGTGTTCAGCAGGACTGAACTTACAGGGGCTGAAAACTAAAGGCAGTGAGGTCCCAAAGCAATACAGCACCAAAGGTTATGTTGGAAACAACAATCTGTACGATGAATGGGGTCTGTTGGAATAGCTAAATGTTGAAGGATGGGTTTAGAGGTGAAAAAAAATCTTGAGGCAATAGAATGTTTAATTGCACTAATTTCCCATGCAAGCAAAGTGATGCTTGAAGTGTTGCAACAAAGAATATTACCCTATATAGGGTGAGAAATGCCTGATTTTCAAGCTGGTTTTCAAAAAGAAAGAAGCACTTGCGATCAAATTGCAGATCAAATTGCAAATCTACGTTGGCTACTGGACTGCACCAAAGAATTTCAGGTCAGTCTTTGCTTTATAGATTACAGCAAAGCCCTTGACTGTGTGGATCACAAGAAGCTATGGATGCTCCTGAAAGACATGAGACTGGGCCATTCTCATGAAATTAGATTTTTGTACAACATATATCATGATTAAATTTCACCACTTCCAAGTGAAAGAAAGCATGGTGTACCTGGCATGGAATAATG